CACCAGAGAGAATGAGTGCCATTTCTTCAGGTGTGCTACTGGGTGATATGTCTTCTTGGCATCTGCCAAGAAAGGCCAGACATATGTTCCCTTTATGCTTTCTTTGTTCTTTCACAGTTGAGAGGCTCTCATGAAGAACAACCCTTCACAAGTCACTGATGGGATCAAAGCCTGGGGCCAGAAGAGCATGCAATAAATGGCAGGTTTTGGAGTGCAGCAGGAGGTCAGACCTTTCTTTGGTCAAAATTCTGAAACTCCACGGTAGCCAGCATGGCATTCAGAAAGAGGCTGGTTTTTCTGGAGGAGCATGTTAATGTTCTAACCTGCTGCCACGGGCTCTCTATGGAAAGCTTATGATGCAGTATTAACTGTGATAATTTTGGGGGATTCACATCTGTTGCTGCTCTTCATCTTCACTGGGTCACAGGCAGCACCTGTAAACTCCACTTCACAAATCCGTGTGATTTATAAGTCGCTGTGGGCCTCTCTGAAAGAGAAATACCCTCACAGAAGGATCTGTGCAAATAAAACTGCTCCTACACATGGGTATCTCTGAAAAGATCCACTTTAGACTGAGCTGAAACATCTCCTGGTGGAGTTGTCCAACTGATGCAATCATGGCTCCACATCAGGAATGAGACCTGGTCATTGTGTCTTTGTTAGCTGGGTTTGGCACTGGCTGTGGCCACCATGAATGACCTGAAGTGTGGGCAATAAGGAGGCTCCTGGGCTGGAGGCAATGAGCTGGTTGCTCTGGAGAGCTGATGTGGATGCCGACAGGGAGCAGGGGGAGATGCCCAATGCACCTGGGGACAGTAGGCCAGGAGTCTGGGGGGACAGCAGGGCTGGGCAATACCCATAACAGTGATGCTGAGCAGATCTGGGGCTGAGTCTGACTTTCCTCCTTAGCTGCTGCCAAGGGAAGGGCCCTGCAGTAAGTCTCTGAAGAGCCATCTCTCCTTCTCTCTCTCAGACGAATGAGGGAAAAATGGGCTCTACTGCATTCACTAAAAGAGATGCTGGGTGCTGCCCAGGTATGGCAGCCTTGTAGCAGTGCCAAGACAAGCCAGTGGCTCTTTCTTCCTGCCTGGGCATGGCCACGCCATTACCAGTCTCCAGGCTGTGGCTATAATGGAAGAATGCCCTGCCTATGCTGGTTTTAATGGTGCACTCTGTACTTAGCTCCTGAAGGGGGAACCTATGGTGGTTTCTGCACAGGTCTGATCTGGGAAGAGATGTGGAGTGCAACACTGGCATACGGTCACTGCATGGAGATGGTCTCAACAAGCTCATCACCGCCTTCATAGTCTTTCCAATAGTCTCTCTCCTCCAGAGCTCCTTCTGGGCAGTGGAATGCTCCCAGCAAAGAGCTATCCTACAGGAACAAGGCCAGCTCAAACATGGATGCCAGACGTGTGCAGATGTCCCAGAGGTAGCTGGTCTGGTTGAGAGACAGGATGTAGCAGGGGTTGGCTGGTGCATCTTCAGCTCTGCCTGAAGCAGCATGAGCCTGCGGATGACAGAATTCCCAGATCCCTACCTTTCTCTCTCAGCACAGGCTGGAGATACCACCCGAGCAGGGTGTACAGCTGGGACCCTGCAACAGGTAGGGGGCAGTTGTGCCTGGGTACAGCAGTGGGTGGACAGAAACTTACCACACACAACGTCCCTCAGCACCAGCCTGTCCACTGCGGCATTCAGCCAGCGCTGGCTTGTCTTCTCGCTGTGCACGTACCTGGCAGCTCAGTCCTTAGGAGATGGGAATTGAATTCATTTAAGGGTCTCTCCTTTAGGTAAAAGAGATCAATAAAAGAGAAGGGGTAAGGGCACAAAAGCAAGATCTCAGAAAGAAAGGCTGAACTCTGCTCTAAGAGATGTGAAGTAGCAAGGCACAGATACTGCATTAAATAAGTGCTGTTCATTCTCTCCTACAATATCACATAACTGCCTCCAGCATGATAGATGGCTTTTATCTATCTTGCATTTGAGATAAGGTTTTCTTAAAAATTACCACAGTTATTGGGATCTTTTTTTTTCAGAAGATGTAGCCTGAAGCGTTCCTGACTACCTGGCAATCCCAAGCAAGAGATTAGTTGAGAGTTTACTGAACTCTTACTAACCAAAGAAAAACCAGGATGGACCTCTACTCCACTTCTGTAATTTCCATATTGCCATTTTTACTTCAGGGAAATAGAACTATGGAAGATATGCATCGCTTTGGAATATTAAATCTGGGAGAAGTCATGTGATTTGTTTTTTGCCCTCTATCTATTGGTTTCTTAAACAAATGATAATAAGCTACTAAGCTACATATTCTAAGACTAGTTAGGAGAAAAAACCTGTACAGTGCTAGAGCCCATATTTTTATGTTTTATTAATAAATCAGGACTTGCAGCTGGACTTTTGCCACCCCATTATTTGAAAAATGGGAGTTGAGCCATTCTGCAATGCACCAATCGTGATCATTCCAATAAGTTAGATATTAGTTTAGGAAACCCTGGCAGCCTCTCGCATTTTGATGAATCTCCTCATGGCCCTGCATCATTAAACAACCTTAGTACTTAATGTATGAGGGTTATAGGAAGCATGGCTGTCACAGAAGACATTTCCTACTTATTTTCTAAGGTCGTGGATCTCTTGGGTTGTGTATTAGCTGGCTCAGGGATGGCAATAGGCAGCTTGGCCCTGAGGACAGTCCTTTGCCCAACTCTTGGATGTGGGGAATTCAATGCATCTGCAACAGGTCATCTTGATTTTGATGCAGAGCTGAGGACACGGTGGGCCCCCACAGCATCCTGCTCTGGGCAACTGCAAAGCCCCTTGCTCCCCGGTCCAGGCAGGATGTGCAGAAGCAGAAACAGGAGCTACTTTTATAGAATCATAGAATATCTCCAGTTGGAAAGGACTCAATAAGGATCATTGGGACAAACTCACTACTCCTCACAGGCCTACCTAAAACCAAACCACACAACTAATAGAGTCGACTAGACACCCCCTGAACTCTGATAGGCTTGGTGCTGTGACCACTTCCCTGGGAAGGCTGTTGCAGTGACTGACCACCTTCTGAGTGAAGAACCTTTTCTCAGTGTCCTGTCTGAACTTCCCTTGACACAGTTTCATTCCATTTCTTCATGTCCTGTCACTGGAGAGAGGAGAGCAGCATCTCCCCCTCCACTGTGTCTCTTTAGGAAGTCACTTTAGGAGGTCACTCCTCAGCCTTCTCTTCTCCACTCTGACCAAACCAAGTGATCTCAGCCACTCCTTTTAAGTCTTGCCCTCAAGACCTTGCACCATCTTAGTCACGCTCCTCTGGACACACTCTAATAGTTTGATGTCCTTATATTGCGGCATCCCAAACTGCACACACTACTTGAGATCAGCAGCGCAGAGTAGAGCACCTCCCTCGACCAGCTGGTGATGCTGTCCCTGATGCACTCTAGGATATGGTTGGCCCTTTTGACTGACAGGGTAAACTGCTGCCTCATATTCACCTTGCCATTGACCAGGACCCCAGAACTCTTTCTGCAGGGCCGCTCTCCAGCATCTCATCCCCCCAGTTTGTACATATAACCAGGATTACCCCCTCACAGCTGAAGAATCTGCCACCTGCTCTTGTTAAATTATACCAGAAAGCAAAATGGCACCAGTAGGTATTCCTCAGCCTTGAGACAAACTGGAAAAGATGGCCTGGCCATGTCCATTTACTAAACACTTTCAGCTTCTCAAACAAGGTGGCTGCATCCAGGCTGTCGTTGGCTTGGGCTAACTCATGGCCGTGCCTAGGAATCATCTGGGAGAATCCTAGATGGCCTGAGCCAAAATTGTGCCAAGGATCTTGTCAGTTAACCAGGTAGCCGCTCCTGTGAACGCTGCCTGTCACTGCTAAATTTCCTAGCATAGGCATAACCGGGATCATCACCTGTCAGTAGTCCCGATCCAGCAGCACCATCCATCTTCTTCCCTAAATGAGGCATTTGATGTGCAGAAGCCCATGTTAAGTCTCCCCCTTAGGATTAAACTCCACTTCAGCAAATCCTACTGTAACTAAAGAAGTAGAGGGATTTCTTTTTAAAAGTAAAATGAAAAGGGGGGGGCAATAAATCATTTCCATCTTGTATTTACCCAGCTCAGTGTGTAACAGCTACTGGCGTTGAAGGCTTTCTTTTTCAGGAACATCTGTGGTTTTGATAAGTCTTTGTAGGTATAGAAAAGCCTGAAGTCCTTCAGCTTTATGTCATATGACATAAAGCACAGTCAGTGTGATTGAAAGGCATTAGATTGAAAACCAGCATGCATTGGTTATAAAAGAAAGAGTTTGTTTAAAAAGTTAAAGTTTCAAATGTGATTAGGAAGACTAATACAAACCAAAACACTTGAGGGTACTGAAGAGATTAAAACCCCCTCCGTTTCCACTAGCCCCTCCCATGCTAGTCCTTCATCAATTGAAGCAGGGAGGGGGGTTTTCTGCATCTTCCAAAGCAATCCAAGGTTTGTGGCTTCTGTGGTCAACATAGATGCTCGAAGTCAGATTTGCTGCAGCAGTTTCAACCCCTACAATGACTCCTCAGGTCGAGGTGGGAGGCAGGTGCTGGGGCCAGAGCTCCCCACAGCCCCCAAGCAAGGGTGGTGGGAGGAAAGCTGCCTGAAGGGTTGAAGCAGTTTCTGCTGGCAAGAGTGGTCCCTGCCCACCCTGGGTCAGCAGGAGCCCTCAGAGAGGTGGGAGAGGAGGAAAGCAGAAGCCTGGCTTGGAATAAAGCCTGGAGAAGGTGAGGGGAATGGCTCGATCCACTGGTGAGGCAAAGCAGGGCCTCAGAAAGAAAGCTGATTTGTCTGCCTGGAAGGAAGAGCTCCTACCTCTGGCTGCTTGCTGAGATCCTATGGACTTCTTGGGTCCAGCACAGGTTCCTGCTCTGGGAAGGAGGGGATGAGGGTGGTGAGGCAGCAGAGAGGTGAAGAAGGAAAGGAGGGTATGAAAGAAGAAAATGCCAGGACTAAGAGAAGGAACTACATGGGGACAGAGGGAGAGACTTGTTGAAAACAAAACACTGGACTGAGGCACGCCAAGGGGAGGGACACCAAGCCCTGCAGAAGTCAGAAACCAAAGGCAGTTACAAAGGCCACGTATTAAAGACATGCAAGTGGTGATATATTGTATTTTAATGCAAAGTTTAATGTCAAAATTCTTTTAAAAATAAGAAAAACCCCAATCTGCTATATATTTTTTAGCTCCCCCCATTCCTTAGCTCCCCAGGAAATGCCAAAGGCTGGCTCCTTGGGGGTGCACTGCAGACAATCCACATCCCAGCCTGCAGAGCCCCAGCACAGCAGCAGACCAGGGCACCTGACTGAGTCACCACCTCTGCCAGCATCGGTGCAGATCCAGGGTCTGGCCTCTTTGTGCCAGGGACAGGCAGCTGGGCCAGCAAGGTGCTGAGGAGGTGCAGGTGTTCAGGCACAGCACTGGAGAAGGCATCAGCAAATGGTTCAAAAGAAACAAACAAAAAGACCAGGTTTCACTTTCATCTCTTTTACGTAAGTATCTTGGCTAGATGAAAAGCCATTCACTGCAGCCATTGCATGACTAATTTAAATCAAGCTGGTTTTTGAGCAGATGAACTAGGGAAGCCCTTTCTTCTGTGGCTGAAGACTATGGAGGGTGAGGAGGGAGAGCACTGGCAGCAGCTTTTCCAGCAGCTGAGTGTCTCTGTCCCACCGTCTCCTGTGTCAGAAGCGTTGAACTCGCTTCATGCAGCCAGACTAGCTTAAAGACCCAAAGTCAGAGCACCCAGAAGCTGCTCAACGAAATAGGTAGAAGTTTAGTTTGGTGGTGAATTCTGCCTCTGCCCAATTCAGCTGAAATTTGCCAGCGGGTTCAAGAACATACTGTTCTTGACTAAAATTTGTTCCATAGGAAACAAAGCCAAAGTAAAGAAGGTGCAAATCAAAGACAATTGCTTTACAGAGAAGTAACACTTGACCGTTTCTTAGAAAGGCACCTCCTCAGAAGCACTCTCCTGCCCAAGGGCTGGCACAGCTGAACCAGCACAGCTTCCCAGGACAGCCCTGCCTTGCTGGCATGCTCAAGCATGGGGCAGCCTGGAAAAGCCTTGCTGTTAGCTTGCCCAGGCAAACCTTTACAGAAACCTCTGTCCTCTGAGACAGTGTACCCACTGGCAAATATGTTGCTACACAGATCTGCACCATGTATCTTCTCCTAGTGCCAGGTCTTTTGACAACATATAAATAAAAAAGCCAGGCCATTTTGTTAGCAGTCACCATGTACAAATTTAGCAACCTAAGCCAGTGATGCCAAAGTCCTCTTCAGTAATGCTCCAGGGCCAGATGCCTCGCAGTCACACATCATAAATTCCTTTCTGCTATTTCCATCTTGTATTTACCCAGCTCAGTGTGTAACAGCTACTGGCGTTGAAGGCTTTCTTTTTCAGGAACATCTGTGGTTTTGATAAGTCTTTGTAGGTATAGAAAAGCCTGAAGTCCTTCAGCTCCAGTTCTCGGAGCAGACTGTACCAGTACCGCACCACCGTGCTGTCATTGCCGCTAACTTCAAATCCAGGCCAGTGGATGTGCACCTCAAAGACCAGCTGTCCTATCTGCTCAACAACATCTTCCAGGATCAGGTTTTCCAAAATTTTCCACTCAGCACTCTCCACATCTGCCTTGAGGACATCAATCTGCAACAAAAGCACCATTACTGTGTGAAAATGAGAAACTTTGCAATTATAGTTAGAAACAACTGAGGCCAGGCTTGACCATTCTTTAATATACATAGTTGTTCTTATGTATAAATAATTTTGTAGTAAAAAAAAATTAAGAATTTTCAGAGGACTAACAGGGGCAGTACACGATATTTCACGCTTGCCTGTTCACAGCCCTTCTCCTCCTGCCTCCAACTCCTGGTCTGAAAAACTATGTATCCCAAGGTGCTGATGCAGCTCCTCCCACAAACAAAGCATGTTACTGTTCCTTCACAATTCTTGTGGTGGCATCACATCTATGAAAGAAAGAAACCTACCTAACTAAGCACAGACAGTAAGGCACGACTGTTCCTTATTTCTCCGTCACAAAATTCCGTGACAGATCTAAACACACTAACAGGGATTACTTGCACCACAGTCGAGTGGCGTCCTCAGGAGCCAGATGCTACATGCTCCACACAAGTGCAGGAGAAGGCCAAAGTGAAATGAATGCGAGAGCAGCTCAGGTCAGCAGGCATCACTACAGATGCTGAGTGAGGAGGACCAAAACAAAAGATAATTATGCAGAGTCTACAGGGTTTTAAGGGCAGCTTCTCCAAAGAAAAACACATAGCAGGAAAGAAGCTGTGAAGGTGTTTAAAGGGAATAACAGATCTAATAGAAAAGTTCCCTGCTCTAGTTTTAGACCGTTATTTAATTTTGTGGTGAGATGTTCAGCAATCCAACTTCTCACAGCCCTACACAACTGTGGGTTTACTTCACCTGGAGATTAGCGGGTGCAGGGGAGCTGTAAACTGAAATGAAAAGTGAGCATTTCATCACCTTTTCACAGCTGCTAGAAAACAATGACTGCAGTGCAGTAGTGATCACAAGCTGCAGAGCTCAAGGGTCTGTGTTTCCCAGAGCCACACAGGAAACTCCCACACTGTGAGAGTACAGGGTTCGCCTGTGCCAGTTCTACCTGAGCTGCTGCTTCTGCCCATCTGCTCACACTCAAGATATGTTTGAAGTGAAAAATTGAGTTAATTTAGAGTCAAGAATACTGAAAAAAAAAAAAGCCAACAAAACCCAAACCAAACAACAACAACAAAAACCAAACAAAACCCCCAGATTCTCTCACACCTTAACTGTCATGGCAGTGTTGAAAAAGGCACCTGTGCAGGTACAGGCCAGAAATTTGGGCGGGTAATGTAAAAGCATTGCTAAGGCAACTGTTTTCCTAAGCTGCACCATCCCAGGATGCCTCGCTGGTGTCATGCCATGCCCCATCCATGTTGGCTGGGGCCCTGGCTCCCAGACCCCTCTGCCCTGGGCGCAGGGCAGGGGTTGTACTGTGAGCACGTCTCCTGTACCACCAGAGCTCTGCATTGCATGGGCCATGGCCAGAAACCACAGGGCTGTGGCAAGGGGTATCTACCTTCCCTTGTTCTCAGGATGGCTGACTGGAGACACAACAGGTTGATCTGCTGAGGTGCAGAGCTCACAGCCATGTCAGCCCTACTCAGGCGCTGTGCTCCAGCACTACAGATGGGCATGGGATGGCAAGAGTCTGTAGGTTCTGGACATGTGCCCATTCTGTTCTCCATCTGTAAAACAAGGGTATTAACCATGGAACACCCTCTACAGAGTGCAGGGGTTGTGCTAATGAAGGGCTGCAAGACTTCAGTAGAACAAGCTGTAAAGCAGCTGAAAATAACACACAGCATTTTCAGAGCAGGACTTGGGAGAGTGGGACTTGAATGAGGTCCATGGTCACAGCCTGAATAACAATAAGCCAAGCCACTGCTTGTCTGCTCATTAAGGCGGCATTGTGCCTCCTCCACGCTGTGGGAGGCAGGGAGCCAGTGGAAAAAGACTGAGGGATTATGGAATTAAAGCCCATATTGTGGCATGTCCGCATGGGGAGCAGAGGGGAAGGTTGCACAGACAACCTCAGCTCTGGTATTTCCTAACTTGACTCTACAACAAAGAGCCTGTCAGTCTGTCCATCCGTGGGTCAGTGAAATACGTTGAACATAAGGCTCCCCTGGGTTCAAGGGGAGGCTGAATGTAAATGATGCTGCTCATGACATTTCAGCTGAGACCTACTTCATGGGTGAGCTCACTTGTTTTCCTTTATACATTTAAATAGGTTATTTATTTTTCAAATACCAACTCACATCTCTACCTGTAATGCAATTTTGCAGGCAGTTCATTCTGCATGGGTCCAATTGCCATAGGACCACACACTGCTGCACTTAAGATACCAAAGATTTTTATCTCTGGGAGATTTCTGTAACTTTGAAAGCAGACAACAACTTATTCAAAACTTTATATTCTTGGGTGATAGAGCAGGGGGGTGGGTGTATAGGGGAAGAAATGTTTCTATGCATTTGCTTTTGTTTTCCCATGATCTTACTTTATGGCAACAGTAGGACATCTTTGTTCCATGGTAATATTTGCGGTCATCATACAGGTTTGTTTGTTTTTCTTTTGTGACACTAACTGCTGCTCTGGCTGCTCAGCAGGACTCTCATGCTCTGTGTTGTATTTGCAAAACTGATCTGAAAAGTGGCTGCTAACCAATGTTTCAGTAGGAGGAACTGAGTTACCACAATAACTGCTTAAACACACACTGAAATGACCAGGAAAGAAACACAAGGCTAGTGGGGATGTGCTGCACACACAAACCAGAGGCTCTTTGCTGCCTTTAGTGCTGTGCACTGCTCAGAGACCTGGAGGGAGGAGGGTACCTGTCTCTACCCACCAACTTTTATGACTGCCTTGCAGGCAAGGTGTTCCTTTCAGCCCAGAGTCTCCATTTTATGCCACAGATAGTGCAGAATAAAAGGCAGAACAGCTCTGTGTCAGAGGATCTGAGCAAATAACAAGCGTCCTGCTAACACCAAATGCAAGTTTTGTGATGATTAGACAGCTCAGGAGATATTTACCATCAGTGATAAGCAGCACACTACTGATAAGAAATACACTACCACCTTCCAGTGGCCTTGATTCAAAGTGCCAGTGAAAGGATTAGTGGACGTGTCTATAAATTCAGAGCTCTAATTCATCCAGGAGCGCAGCTGGAGTCTGCTGCTGGGAGTAAATCCCAGAGGGCAAAGATCTACAGTGCCTGAAGGTAAAGTATGGCAGTCAGTTTCAAGCACTCACAAAAGCTGCTTCCTCTTATCTTCCACAAATCCTTTTATCCTCCAAGACCTAACTAGGCTATCACAGAAAAGTAAAAAGTGTGGATTTTTAAAAATGTTTTCTCAGTTTAGCTCCTTTGAAAAAGCACTGCAGCATTGTACCACTTACACTTGGAGAAAAAAAAGGGCCTTGCTCGTGCACAACCAAGCATATAAAACAGCTGAAAAAAAATGTGTTTTAGTTAGTGAAGGTCAACACATACTGTATGAAGGCTCGTTTCTTCTTTTTAGGGTAATGACTTGTTACAACTGTGCATCATTTCCTACAGCAGAGATCAGATCTCTGTTCACCTTGATCGCTTTTGAAATACCAGGGTTAAGGGGGATTTCAGGCTCTGCTCTGCCCCGTGGGCACCATTTAAAGCTCCCCATGGAGAAGAGTCAATTGAGAGTGAGTAGCTGGAGGAAGCAATTTAGCTGTATTATTTCCACCATGAGCTCAGCGTGTGGAAGTGAAAGCCAGGAAAGGCAAAACAACAAATGCTGTACAGGTCACATAAGGAGGATCCCTCCAGTTCTGCGGGAGCAGGTCTGTGGTGCAAGGTGGGAGCAGGGAGAGGAGAGCTGGTTACAGCTTTCAAGCACAGGAACAGAGCTCAGAACAACCTGGCCTCCTGAACCGAAGAGCCGCCCCCACGATTTGAGGCTGGGAGAATTAACCCTTTGCTCTGGTTCCCTGATACCCGGTTACCATTTTGACATCAGCTGTACAGCAAGATAAACTCTGCTGGCTTATGCATCAGATTTTTCCCTCTCCGCCTAAGTACAATTCTCTATTTTCAGCAGATAAAACTCTAGAAAAAGCTATTTAATTCACATTTTGATAGCACGTGTCTTTGCAGGTAACAACAGGTTCTTGAGCATGTTTTTTTCAAATGCGTCTTCCCTCTTATTCTTTTCCCATCTGCAAATTTTCAGCATGATACTTCCCCCACTTTCTTTTCCTCTCAAAATGCATTCACAGCCCCTCCTCACCAGCAGGAGATGGCTTGGATGTAAAGTCCCTTCCATTCCCTTTTATTCTGAGCTGAGACTGTAATTGATGGCAGACAGGATGCCACGTAGCCTAATAGCAAATTATGCTCCCAGCAACTTGTGACTGTCTCTCCCCACGCTCCCTGCAATCAGTGGGAGGGGGAAACATCCTGTCTCTCTCTCTCAGCCATCTGCTGGAGGGACCAGGACTGCTGTGGGCATGGTCTGAGCAACATGGATACTGAAACAGGGAGAAAAGTCAATCACTACTGATCAGTGATATACAGCTCCAAACAGCAGCACTTCTTCTAATTATTTCCCTTCCTACCTGCTCACATTGACACTTCTCTCTGCAGCAGTCAGTATAGCCAGTTTTACACTGGTGCAAATGTGTCATTTGAGATTGTTCACTCCCAATGTGACAGATCGGGCACATCTTAAAGTATCTGCTTAAGGCATCAAAGTCACAAAGCTGATTTGTGCAGTTGGGTGTTTACATGGTCTTTGGTCTTTTTTTACAGTAAAAAGCAACTGTCCAGTTGATATACACATCACTGAAACAGAAAACCAGCAGTGAGTGCAGGCGAGCTTTGTTCCTCTGCTCTCACCTCCGATCCTCCACAGCCTTGCAAGTGACAAAGAAACCTTTCCTCCCAGTTCTTGTAATGTGCTTCCATGAAAGCATTACACAGCAGGAGCAGGATACAAAGTAATTTTAGGTTTACCACTTGAACTAGAGAAAATGTTTCAAAATCATATTAAAAGAACTTATTTAACTCTCTCATAGCCAACTGTCAGTATAGCAACATCTTG